TTAGTAAGAAGGTACCCCCCTTATGATTTTTTTGGAAAACTTTGATAGGTCGTAATTTTTTTTCTATTATAGATAGGAAGCTGAATCTTTCACTGAATTTTATCCCTTTCAAAGGACTACAATCCCTGAAAATTTCAGCTCATTTGCACTTATAGTTCCTGAGATAAAATCGTGTTAAGCAATTGGGGTGATTTATCAATTTTCCAATTTTTCTGAGAGCCTTTTGTCATAAATTTCCGCTTCAAATCTGAGAATAATTCAGTTTATGGAGTTCAGGGTATCACGAAGGACCAGTAGGACACAAAATCTCGACAAAAAAAAATTTGAAATTTCATCATTTTAGTAAGAAGGTACCCCCCTTATGATTTTTTTGGAAAACTTTGATAGGTCGTAATTTTTTTTCTATTATAGATAGGAAGCTGAATCTTTCACTGAATTTTATCCCTTTCAAAGGACTACAATCCCTGAAAATTTCAGCTCATTTGCACTTATAGTTCCTGAGATAAAATCGTGTTAAGCAATTGGGGTGATTTATCAATTTTCCAATTTTTCTGAGAGCCTTTTGTCATAAATTTCCGCTTCAAATCTGAGAATAATTCAGTTTATGGAGTTCAGGGTATCACGAAGGACCAGTAGGACACAAAATCTCGACAAAAAAAAATTTGAAATTTCATCATTTTAGTAAGAAGGTACCCCCCTTATGATTTTTTTGGAAAACTTTGATAGGTCGTAATTTTTTTTCTATTATAGATAGGAAGCTGAATCTTTCACTGAATTTTATCCCTTTCAAAGGACTACAATCCCTGAAAATTTCAGCTCATTTGCACTTATAGTTCCTGAGATAAAATCGTGTTAAGCAATTGGGGTGATTTATCAATTTTCCAATTTTTCTGAGAGCCTTTTGTCATAAATTTCCGCTTCAAATCTGAGAATAATTCAGTTTATGGAGTTCAGGGTATCACGAAGGACCAGTAGGACACAAAATCTCGACAAAAAAAAATTTGAAATTTCATCATTTTAGTAAGAAGGTACCCCCCTTATGATTTTTTTGGAAAACTTTGATAGGTCGTAATTTTTTTTCTATTATAGATAGGAAGCTGAATCTTTCACTGAATTTTATCCCTTTCAAAGGACTACAATCCCTGAAAATTTCAGCTCATTTGCACTTATAGTTCCTGAGATAAAATCGTGTTAAGCAATTGGGGTGATTTATCAATTTTCCAATTTTTCTGAGAGCCTTTTGTCATAAATTTCCGCTTCAAATCTGAGAATAATTCAGTTTATGGAGTTCAGGGTATCACGAAGGACCAGTAGGACACAAAATCTCGACAAAAAAAAATTTGAAATTTCATCATTTTAGTAAGAAGGTACCCCCCTTATGATTTTTTTGGAAAACTTTGATAGGTCGTAATTTTTTTTCTATTATAGATAGGAAGCTGAATCTTTCACTGAATTTTATCCCTTTCAAAGGACTACAATCCCTGAAAATTTCAGCTCATTTGCACTTATAGTTCCTGAGATAAAATCGTGTTAAGCAATTGGGGTGATTTATCAATTTTCCAATTTTTCTGAGAGCCTTTTGTCATAAATTTCCGCTTCAAATCTGAGAATAATTCAGTTTATGGAGTTCAGGGTATCACGAAGGACCAGTAGGACACAAAATCTCGACAAAAAAAAATTTGAAATTTCATCATTTTAGTAAGAAGGTACCCCCCTTATGATTTTTTTGGAAAACTTTGATAGGTCGTAATTTTTTTTCTATTATAGATAGGAAGCTGAATCTTTCACTGAATTTTATCCCTTTCAAAGGACTACAATCCCTGAAAATTTCAGCTCATTTGCACTTATAGTTCCTGAGATAAAATCGTGTTAAGCAATTGGGGTGATTTATCAATTTTCCAATTTTTCTGAGAGCCTTTTGTCATAAATTTCCGCTTCAAATCTGAGAATAATTCAGTTTATGGAGTTCAGGGTATCACGAAGGACCAGTAGGACACAAAATCTCGACAAAAAAAAATTTGAAATTTCATCATTTTAGTAAGAAGGTACCCCCCTTATGATTTTTTTGGAAAACTTTGATAGGTCGTAATTTTTTTTCTATTATAGATAGGAAGCTGAATCTTTCACTGAATTTTATCCCTTTCAAAGGACTACAATCCCTGAAAATTTCAGCTCATTTGCACTTATAGTTCCTGAGATAAAATCGTGTTAAGCAATTGGGGTGATTTATCAATTTTCCAATTTTTCTGAGAGCCTTTTGTCATAAATTTCCGCTTCAAATCTGAGAATAATTCAGTTTATGGAGTTCAGGGTATCACGAAGGACCAGTAGGACACAAAATCTCGACAAAAAAAAATTTGAAATTTCATCATTTTAGTAAGAAGGTACCCCCCTTATGATTTTTTTGGAAAACTTTGATAGGTCGTAATTTTTTTTCTATTATAGATAGGAAGCTGAATCTTTCACTGAATTTTATCCCTTTCAAAGGACTACAATCCCTGAAAATTTCAGCTCATTTGCACTTATAGTTCCTGAGATAAAATCGTGTTAAGCAATTGGGGTGATTTATCAATTTTTCAATTTTTCTGAGTGCCTTTTTTCAAAGATTTCGGCTTCAAATCTGAGAATAATTCAGTTTATGGAGTTCAGGGTATCACGAGGGACCAGTAGGACACAAAATCTCGACAAAAAAAAATTTGAAATTTCATCATTTTAGTAAGAAGGTACCCCCCTTATGATTTTTTTGGAAAACTTTGATAGGTCGTAATTTTTTTTCTATTATAGATAGGAAGCTGAATTTTTCACTGAATTTTATCCCTTTCAAAGGACTACAATCCCTGAAAATTTCAGCTCATTTGCACTTATAGTTCCTGAGATAAAATCGTGTTAAGCAATTGGGGTGATTTATCAATTTTTCAATTTTTCTGAGTGCCTTTTTTCATAGATTTTGGCTTCAAATCTGAGAATAATTCAGTTTATGGAGTTCAGCGTATCAGGAAGGACCAGTAGGACACAAAATCTCGACAAAAAAAAAATTGAAATTTCATTATTTTAGTAATAAATAAAAATAGGCTCCAGAACTGGGTATGGTATAGGTATACACTGCCCGAAAACAAGTCGCAACTTTAGCTCAAGATTGCCAGACGAAAGGAAATATACTCTGCAGAAATAGTAGCCATCCATGAAGCCGTCACATACTCCCTGGGTCCTTATTCTTGAGACCGGAGAGCAACTTTCCTAAAAGAACGAGTGTTTCGTCTTTCTCAATGATATGCAAAATATAATATAAGTAACAAAGACGGAACACTCGTTTTCCTGGAAACGCTGCTCCCCTGTTTGAAGAATAAGGACCCTGAAAAAAAAAACATAAGAAAGATCATTATAATGTTTGACTCGGCCCGATTCTCGTCCCCAGGGAGTAGAGCTCCCCGAGAGAACGAATTTTTTTATCCTTGTCAACGTAATCAAAAAGTAAACGGGAATGATAAAGACGAAAAAATTTTTCTCTCGGGGAGCTCTTCTCTCCTTGAGACGAGAATCGGGCCCCTGAAGTATAATTTCAAAACTATGACAAAATTACTTAAACTCTGATATAGACAGTTATTCTTCAAAAACAAAGACTCTAATAATAACAGCGAGTCACGCAAACATAACTGGCAACGAAATAGCTGACAAATTGGCATATTTTATAAGAAAAATGTTGCAGATACCAAAAAACATACCATTGAGTAACAATCACATGATGGTTGCTATAAGAGAGAGGGTGAAAAAGGAACATGATTCTGCTTGGAAGAAATCCCTGAATCAAAACTGCTTTCCAAAGACAGCATGGTATATAATGCATTCCCATACTTAGACCGAAGGCACATTACAACCATACCGAGAATGAGAATACTAGACATTATTTAACAGGAAAACACCTACACATGATGAGAGTTAAAGAAAACCAAATTGCGAGTGCCAGGCAAATTGAGGATCTCAACCACATCTTCTTCGAGTGCCCAATCAATCAAATCCCTAACTTCGACCTATAAAAGCCTAATAGGAGGGAAAATCATCGCCCTACCTTCAATAACCACGGTTTTACAAAATCTAGATGCAAGTATAATAAAACTACTACTATTGCATTAATTTATAGAGTAAAAACCAGAATTCAAGCAGATCAACGCCCACCACAACCTTATCGCTTGATACCAACACTCTGAATATAGGGCTGTACGTTTGCAATGGTGGTGTGTACCCAGGAGTACCCATAGGACGCTACGTACGAATTTAACAAGCGGTGAGAAACAGTAGTTGTCTCTTTTTACTTTACTTTCTTTATAGCGTGTGACAACAAAAACGTACGAATTCCACGGTCTTTCACTTTTCTAGGGCGGGTTTTAGATTAGAATTTTTAATGGTGAAAATGTTTGATGTCTTGACATGGTCTCAGTAATTTGCTCACAGCTCCGTTAATTTTCAAGGAATAAACTTGTATTATAGATTTTCTGAAAGAGGATTAAATTCTCTATAAAACCTCCAAATACGAAATCAGTTGATTTTAGGCTTCGAGAAATTAAGCTTTACACTTGAAACTTTTCTGAGATATTGTGAAAAACTTAGTAGGTATTGTACATTTTAATGCATTGAGCCTCATGCACCATTGGTCTGTCCATATCTCAATTCGCCTAAAGTTCAAAAAACCATAAGTAATTAAAAATTTTCACCAAATAAAATATTAAAGTACTTAATGAGAGCTACAATCTTTGAAAATTTTGATTGGATAACTTACCCTGGTTACCCAGATATTGCCAATAGAAGATTTAAAATAAAAAATCCAAAGGACGTAAGCTAAAGCTATATGTATAATTTTCTATAAATCTGAGCTGAATTGAGTTCGATAGCTCAAATACCTTTTGAGCAATCAAACCTCAATAGTCAAAATTTAATCAAAAACTTCAAACCCTCTTTATCAAGATTCCCAAACTTGTAAAAATTTCCAATATAATCTCACTTACCTTATATTATTGTACAACTCCAACTGCTGGTGCGCCTTAGCCAACATATTCTGATTAAGCCCATCATCCTTGACATTCTCCAACAACAAATTCAAAAAATCAAACATCAAATCCTGCCATTCGACAACATTAAACCCGTCATAATTTTGATCCAAATATTTGGATAATTGAGGCAGCTTTACTTCCCACACTGGTTTATAAGCAAATCCATTACAAGGCGAAATATTTCTTAAAAAATTAAGCAAAAAGGTGCCTCTTAATGCAGGCAAAGGATTAGACAACAGAACCATGCAACGGACGAATGCAGCCTCAGAATTTTGAGTTTGTAATTTTTTTGAGGCCAAATACGTAAGACATCGTAACAGTATAACTATTGCTTCATCATATTTTGTATTGAGGAGGCATTTTAATAACAAGCCCCATAAAGTGGCTTCTAGTTCTGGCACTGAAGTGGTCAAAACATACAGAGCATTATCTGCACTAGTTTGTATGTCTTTTAGCTCTTCAAGGCTAATGTCAGAGTTTTTAGGTAAAAGTTGCCTGCAAGACATTTTCAAAATAAACTCTAAATAAACCTCAGCCCCGTCAGGGTTTAATTCTTTGTTGATTAAAACTTTCTTATGGGCCAGGGCTATGATGATTTTTACTAAAACTTTGCGGATTTTTATGTGGCTGCCCTCAAGCATTTCTTGTACATGTTTTAAAATATCCTTTAATCTTCTGTGTATTGTTTGCTCGGCACTATAAGCTATTAAATGTGTTATAACTATTAAGCCTTTAAGCTTGTCTCTATCGTTGTTGTTTTTTAAGTGCACCAATAATTTATCTATGGTTGTATCTGTGAAATATATGGCAATACATTCGTAGCAACGTAAAACTTCTGAGTGACATCTAGAAGAATTAGGCTGAGCATAATCTGGATTCAGGCATATTAATTCAGATAAATTATTCAATATGTTTGATAGTAGAGGTTCTAGAAGCATTCCATTGACTGTTGCACTTTTAGTAAGCACCGCATATAAGCATTTAGTAATTACATAAGGGTTAATATTTTTTTTGTATAAACTTAGCAGCAAAGGAATGATTTTTTGGATTTGCTGTGTGACTTTGTCAATGGGTAAAGTGACAAAAATTGCACCCAAAGCTTCCAGAACGGTTTCCACAACTTTAGGCTCTTTTGATTGGAGCCAGGCCGAAAACAATACGTCATAGGCCATTGAGAGTTCAGTTTTGAAGGTTTCTGTTGTTATTGTTGGGTCGGGGACTTGGTCCAGGTTACTTACGTATTCGACTAAGCCTTCACAGAAATTTTGTAGAGCTGAAAAGGAATTGAAACTATTTCAGGATCAGTCTATATAGGAATATTACAAGTAAAAATAAATTTGCGGTCATAGATAAAATGTTTTATGTGATACATGCATTGAAACTATTGAGGTTTTACTCGAGTTTTTAGTATGTTTTGCATCAAAAATATCGCCTCATAATCGCATATTTGTGCCTCAAGTAGTTTTTGAGTGAAGGGGCAAACCACCTAGGAATTCTTTGCTAAAAATGTGGAGAATTTAGGAGAGATTTAGAGGAATTTGTGGGGAATTTGAAAAAACTCAATGGAATTTATGAGAATTTGGGGAACTTATAGGGAATTTGAAGGAATTTATGGGGAATTTGTGAGCAATTTAAAGGAAATTGTAGGATCATGATATCACTGAGGTTCACATTCTTATTACATATAAGAAATAGTAATACTTAAATGGAAATTTTAAAAGAAAATCTAGTTTTGGATATTCATTTTTATTAAAGAAATCCTCCCAAAATTACACTACATGATTTTACAGGTCCAAATTTAAAAAATTCAAAAGATTAAGGAATACCTACAGTTTTTGTAGACTGATTTTCAAGATTTTTTATGTTGTTATTTTCCACTGAAAAAATTTGAAATTTTGGGAAAATGAGCTTCTCACCTTCCTCTTTACATGCAAAAAGTTTCAAAATTTTCCCTTTACTAGTTTTCCAGGAAAATTTTGGAATGTGTGAGACTGTATTTTCAACTAATTCACTTTTTGTAGGTTGATTCCTCAAGACTTTCCATGTTGCTGTTTTCTACTGAAAAAATTTGAAATTTTGGGAAAATGAGCTTCTCACCTTCCTCTTTACATGCAAAAAGTTTCAAAATTTTCCCTTTACTAGTTTTCCAGGAAAATTTTGGAATGTGTGAGACTGTATTTTCAACTAATTCACTTTTTGTAGGTTGATTCCTCAAGACTTTCCATGTTGCTGTTTTCTACTGAAAAAATTTGAAATTTTGGGAAAATGAGCTTCTCACCTTCCTCTTTACATGCAAAAAGTTTCAAAATTTTCCCTTTACTAGTTTTCCAGGAAAATTTTGGAATGTGTGAGACTGTATTTTCAACTAATTCACTTTTTGTAGGTTGATTCCTCAAGACTTTCCATGTTGCTGTTTTCTACTGAAAAAATTTGAAATTTTGGGAAAATGAGCTTCTCACCTTCCTCTTTACATGCAAAAAAATTCAAAATTTTGCCTTTACTAGTTTTCCACGAAAATTTTGAAATGTGTGAGATTGTATCATCCATTAATTTAGTTATTGTAGGTTGATTTCCAATAATATTCCTTATTTGTCATTTTTCACTGGAAAAATTTGAAATTTTGGGAAAATGAGCTTCTCACGTTCCTCTTTACATGCAAAAAGTTCCAAAATTTTCCTTTCACTAGTATTCCAGGAAAATTTTGGCATGTGTGAGACTATATTTTCAACTAATTCAGTTTGTATAGGTTGATTTCCAAGATTTTTCATGTTGCTGTTTTTCACTGGAAAAATTTGAAATTTTGGGAAAATGAGCTTCTCACCTTCCTCTTAACATGCAAAAAGTTTCAAAATTTTCCCTTTACTAGTTTTCCAGGAAAATTTTGGAATGTGTGAGACTGTATTTTCAACTAATTCACTTTTTGTAGGTTGATTCCTCAAGACTTTCCATGTTGCTGTTTTCTACTGAAAAAATTTGAAATTTTGGGAAAATGAGCTTCTCACCTTCCTCTTTACATGCAAAAAAATTCAAAATTTTTCCTTTACTAGTTTTCCAGGAAAATTTTGAAATGTGTGAGATTGTATTATCAATTAATTTAGTTATTGTAGGATGATTTCTAATAATATTCCTTATGTTGTTATTTTTCCCTGGAAAAATTTGAAATTTTGGGAAAATCAGCTTCTCACCTTTCTATTTACATACAAAAAGTTTCAAAATTTTCCCTTCACTAGTTTTCCAGGAAAACTTTGAAATGTGTGAGACTGTATTTTCAATTAATTCAGTTATTGTAGGTTGATTTCCAATATTCCTTATGTTGTTATTTTACACTGAAAAAATTTGAAATTTTGCGAAAATGAGCTTCTCACCTTCCTCTTTACATGCAAAAAGTTTCAAATTTTTCCTTCACTAGTTTTCCAGGAAAACTTTGAAATGTTTTAGACTATATTTTCAACTAATTCAGTTTGTGTAGGTTGATTTCCAAGATTTTTCATGTTGTTGTTTTCCACTGGAAAAAAGTGAAATTTTGGGAAAATGAGCTTCTCACCTTCCCCTTTACATGCAATAAGTTTCAAAATTTTCCCTTCTCTAGTTTTTCAGGAAAACTTTGAAATGTTTGAGACTGTATTTTCAACTAATTCAATTTGTGTAGGTTGATTTTCAAGATTTTCCATGTTGCTGTTTTTCACTGGAAAAATTTAAAATTTTGGGAAAATGAGCCTCTCACCTTCCTCTTTACATGCAAAAAGTTTCAAAATTTTCCTTTTACTAGTTTTCCAGGAAAACTTTGAAATGTTTGAGACTGTATTTTCAACTAATTCAATTTGTGTAGGTTGATTTCCAAGATTTTCCATGTTGCTGTTTTTTACTAGAAAAATTTTAAATTTTGGGAAAATGAGCTTCCCACTTTCCTCTTTACATGCAAAAAGTTTCAAAATTTTCTTACAACTAGTTTTCCAGGAAAACTTTGAAATGTGTGAGACTGTATTTTCATTTAATTCAGTTTTTGTAGGTTGATTTCCAAGATTTTTCATGTTGTTGTTTTCTACTGGAAAAATTTAAAATTTTGGGAAAATGAGCTTCGCACCTTCTTCATTAGATGCAAAAAGTTTCAAAATTTTCCCTTTACTAGTTTTCCAGGAAGATTTTGGAATGTTTGAGACTGTAGGTATTTTCAACTTATTCAGTTTATGTAGGTTGATTTCCAAGATTTTTCATGTTGCTGTTTTTCACTGGGAAAATTTGAAATTTTGAAAAAATGAGCTTCTCACCTTCCTCTTTACATGCAAAAAGTTTCAAAATTTTCCCTTTACTAGTTTTCCAGGAAAATGTTGGAATGTGTGAGACTGTATTTTCAACTAATTCAGTTTTTGTAGGTTGATTTCCAAGATTTTTCATGTTGTTGTTTTCCACTGGAAAAATTTGAAATTTTGGGAAAATGAGCTTCTCATTTTCCTCTTTACATGCAAAAAGTTTTAAAAGTTTCCCTTCACTAGTTTTCCAGGAAAACTTTGAAATGTGCGAGATCTCGATTTTTCCTTTTTTTTGTATTTCCTCCTCTCTCAGAATTGGTCTGTTCTCAGATTGTCCGTCATTTATTGCTTTCCCTTTGAGATTTTTCCTAATATTGAACTCGATCTCCATTTTGATCTTGAGATTTTTAGAAATTGCTATTTTTACTCTTTAATTGTGTATTTTTACCTTGAGATGACTCAGAATTCTAATTCTACATTTCTTTGATTCCAGGTTCTTGAATTTTTTTTATTTTTGTATTGCAGGTTTTCTTAATTTGTCTGTTCTAGTGTGAATTATTCGAGGAATTATTATTCTGTATGTTTTTATTGAAAACAAAACTCAAGAGCCTGGAATAGAGAAAAAATTAGGATAAAGAAAAGCATGGAATTCCATAATTTTCCCATTCCTGGCTTTCATATTTTTCCCTATTTTTTTGTATAGTTGTGTAGATTGTTGGTTATTTATTTTACATAAGTGATACTGAAAGAGCCATAGGCACCAATATGAAAATTTTTTGGAACTTTATTCACTCCCAATCTAATCAGGGTACTATTCCTAACGAAATGTTTCTTGCCTCAGAAAAGGCGTCCAACGGTGTTGACATAGCTAATCTTTTTGCTGTCTATTTCTCCTCCGTCTATAACCCTCAGAGAAATTCCGACGCTGGAACCTTTGCTGATCGATTTGAGAATGTTTCAAGCATTGTCATAGATCCAACAGATATTGAGAGGGTTTTAACGCAATTGGACATCAACAAGTCTGCAGGACCTGATGGTATTCCTAACAGAGTACTAAAATCTTGTTCTAACACTTTGTATCTTCCTCTATTTAATATTTTCAACAAATCAATATCTTCTGGAATTTTTCCAGAAATGTGGAAGCTCTCCTACGTTTGTCCTATTTACAAGTCAGGCAGCAAAAATGATGTAACAAATTACAGACCCATCAGCATTCTGTCTGCGATTCCAAAATTATTTGAGCAGTGCGTGGAAGGAATTCTTTCAAAAATATTTCATCAGATTGTGATCAGTCAACAGCACGGTTTTACAGCCTGTAGATCCGTTGAGACGAACCTGTTTCTCTTTACAACATTCATAAATTCATCATTTGCTATAATGCAGAAACTCATGCAATATATACTGACTTCAGTAAAGCCTTTGATAAGGTAAATCACAACATCCTTCTTTCAAAGCTTTCAAGTTTCGGCGTTTCTGGACATTTATTTTCATGGATGAAATCATACCTTACTAACAGAATGCAACAAGTCAAGATCGATAGCTATCTTTCTTCTCTTTTCCATGCATCCTCTGGGGTACCTCAAGGTTCTCACTTGGGCCCCCTTCTATTCAGCTTATTTATCAACGATTTAGGATCGTTGCTCTCGTCAAATTTTTTACTTTTTGCTGATGACTTGAAGTTGTATCGTCAGGTGACGTCAACTCAAGACATACTTATTTTGCAAAATGATCTTAACATCGTTCACGATTGGTGTCAGCTTAATTACATGTCTCTCAACATCGATAAGTGCTGTTGTATAAGATTCAGTAGACGCACCCATAGTGTTCCCTTGCAGTATTACTTAAACAATGTTCGCTTGTCTGAAGTTTCTATCATTAAAGATCTTGGTGTCTATCTAGATACTAGGCTAATGTTCATTGAGCATTTTGAAGTGGTAATTGGCAGGGCTAATAAAATGTTGGGGTTTATTAAGAGAGCTACTAGGGACTTTACAAGTATACGCCCTATCAAAATTTTTTACACATCACTGGTCAGGTCCGTTCTTGAATTTTCATGCATAGTTTGGTCACCTTACTATCAGATCCACATCAATAGGCTTGAGAGTGTTCAACACAAATTTATTAAGTTTGCAAGGTACAAACTTTCTTTGAGTGGTGTAATTCTCAGTGAGGACCTGACTATGACTTATTTAGACTTATCTACTCTTGTTCGCAGAAGGGAATATTTTGATGTCTGTTTTGCATTTAAAATTCTTAACTACTACATAAAAAGCCACGAATGTCTTGAATGTTTTAATCTACACATTCAAAGTTATCAGACACGAAGTAAATCTTTACTGCACATTCCTTACTGTCGAACCTGGTACCTACTATTCAGTCCTGTGAATAGAACATCTGCCAATGTAAATAAGTTCTGTGAGGGCCTTGAGTTCTTTGGTTTATCTCTGGATAAATTTAAGACGAAGGCCAGGAGAATTGTTTTAGGTTAGATTTTTTTTTTTTTTTAGATTTAAACTCTGTTCAACTTCAAATGTATTTTTCTTATACGTAAATAAATGAATAAATAAATAAATAAATGAATAAATTATTTATTGTTTTCAGGATATTTCCTAACATTGAACCCAATCTCCATTTTGATTTTGAGGTTGTCGGAAGTTGATATTTTTACTCGGAAATTGTGTATTTTTACCTTGAGACAACTCAGAATTCTAATTCTACATTTCTGTGATTCCAGATTTTTGAATTTTTGTTATTTTTGTTTCCAGGTTTTCTTCATTCTTCTCTTCTAGTATTAATTAATATTCTGCATGTTTTTATTGAGAAAAAAAACTCAACAGCCGGAAATAAAGAAAAAAATTAGGATAAAGAATAGCATGGAATTCCATAATTTTTCTATTCCAGGCTTTTGAATTTTTCCTTTTTTTTTGTATTTCCTCTTCTTTCAGAATTGGTCTGTCCTCAGGGGTGATTTATCAATTTTTCTGAGTGCCTTTTTTCATAGATTTCGGCTTCAAATCTGAGAATAATTTAGTGAATGGAGTTTGGGGAATGGGGGATGTTAATTGAACATTAGTATACAAAATCTCAACAAAAAAAAATTTGAAATTTCATCGTTTTAATAAGAAGGTACCTACCTTATGATTTAGATTTTGGAAAACTTTGGAAGGGCATAACTTTTTTTCTATAAAAGATAGAAAGCCGAAATTTTTACTAAATCTGATTTCAATAAAGGGTCTATAATTCCTGTAATTTAAGCTCATTTGCACTTATAGCTCCTGAGATAAAATCGTGTTAAGCAATTTGGGATGAATTATCAATTTTTCAATTTTTCTGAGTGCCTTTTTGCATAGATTTCGGCTTCAAATCTGAGAATAATTTAGTGTATGGAGTTTGGGGGATGCTAATTGACCGTTAGAATGGAAAATCTCAACAGATATTTTAGTAAGACGGTAGCCTCGAAGGTAGCTAACTTATGATATAGATTTTGGAAAACTTTGGAAAAGCATAACTTTTTTTCTATTTTCAGTGATTCTTATTCCATTAGAGAACTATCCCTGATAAACATATAAAAAATTCAAGAGCCTGGAATAAACAAAAAAATAAGATGAAAAAAATGAGAAATAAGTACATATATAAAATAAAAAAATAAACTGGTGATGTAAACCTTATTTTATTTTTAAGGCAACGTTTTGGGAAATTTTGCAAGGTTTACATTACCAGTTTTTTGTCTCTTATTCCTGCTACTTCAATTGTACAAAAAAATTGAAGAATTAATTGAGAAATAGAGTAAAAGTCCCAGTATAAATAATTTGAATTAAAAAAAAAAAGATTTGTATGGGTGTGAAAAAAGAACACATAGTAAAAAACAAAATAAACACAAAAATAATTAGGAATTGGAGTTTAAATAAATACATATTGTATATTGCACTATCTACTATCTACTTAGACTAAGAAAATGGGGAAATTCTAAAAATACAAGGAAAAATTAAATGAACAATGCAGAAAAAAACTGAGGAGAAATAGTCAAAAAATTAAAAAGATTAAGATTAAAATGGTAAAAAAGAAAATACAAAAAATGCTTAAGTAGTCAAGTTTTTTTCATTTTTAATTATTTCAATTATTGTTTTCACTGTTTATTCATCTACTTAGTACAGTAGGTACGATACAGTATAAATTACATTAAATGTATAATCACTTACCAAACGAAAATGCCTGCTTCAAATGATCAGTCCTCAGCCCACCAAAAAGCGGCAACATAATGTGCAAAATATCCTTCAAATAAGGCACAACGCTGTACGAATTCGTACTAGCAAGTGACCCCATAGTATGAGGAATTGTATAATGTGGCACAACACCCGCTTGCAAATTTGCTCTCAGGGCATCCAAAACTTGCACATAATGAATACGGCCAAGGGCCACCAAAACATCAGACGCTGGCATTTGAACTGCTGGCTCGTGATTAGGGTTTTTGGTCATCAGTTTTAGACTGAATTCGATTGTGTTTAGGACAGTATCGCCGTCGATGTTTTCCAGTTGATCTGAGCATATTTTGCTCATTAATTGTAAAATGGGGCCCAATTGTTCTGGAGTGGGTGAAGGGGTTTTGGTGCAAAATTTTGAGCAAGACAATAGGACTTGATTGGGATGTTTTTCGGATAGTTTTGTTAAAGAGTTGGTTACTGAATTGCATACTGAAGGACTTTTGTCTGCGATTGAGTCCAATAGTACAGCAATGGCAACTAAAATAGATATTAGAATTTTTACTATTAAAAAACAGATTTTGAATAATTCAATTACCTTGCAATTGGGTTTCAGCCGTATTTTTCATTTTATTATTTGCACTAGTCATTTTGGGGTTGCACTAATTCACTTTTACAAGCATGTTATCAATAAATTAATAATTAAATTATTAATTTAAAAAGACAACAAACAAAAAGCTGTCAAGTAATGTCACATAACCTCTAAAAAAAAACAGGGTTAGTGCGCATAGAGTGTCTTTTTCTACCAACTTGTATAAGAAAGAGATGAAAATACATTTTTTCTGCACTGGTTCTGCCAACATAACGCGCTATTAAACATAACCTCACATTTCAAAAAATGATAAATGGTTTGTTTATGTATTTTGATTTTTTTGAACACGTAATCATATTCCTTTAAAAAACTAAATTATTAATTAATAATTCTAATTAAAAATATTAACAAAATAAACATGGATACTCTCTATAATCAAACCAATAAGTTGATACAACAAACTCAGCAAAGATTCAAATTATTAGAAGGTAACATTCCAAATGCATTAGAAATTGAAGCACAAATTAGTGAGGATATTAAGCAAATTCAAAGGTAATTTTATATTATTAATAATAATGGGATGTGCTTTTTTTAACATGTTCTTGGAAGTTTTAAGTTAGTTTCAAAGTGTCATGTTAAGATATTCTGAAATTTTCCAGTTCTACATTCCAAAATTTCTCATATGATTTGTAAAGTGTTCTAGAGTGTTTCAAAATACTCCTGGAAATTTTAACTTGGATCTAAACCTTTACTTTACAGTGTCTCAAACTTTCTTAAATTTTCCCAAAAGTTCAGAAGTGTTCTGGTCCGTTCTAGAATGTTTTTGATTTGATTCTAAAGTGTTCTGTAGCATTTTACAATGTTCCTGCGAGTTCCAATTTATTTTAAAGTACTCTAGAGTGTCTCAAAATGATTTCTGAAGTTTCCAATTGCTTGCTTATTGCTCTTGATTTCCCTATTTCCTTAGGCTAAAATTGCAAGAAACTATCCTTTAGCAATAGAAAATGTTTGATGTGCTGACATGATCTCAAACATTTGGTCATAGTTTCTGTAATTTCCAACCAATCAATTTAAATTATGAGGCTTTCAACTGGCTTCCTGGAAACCTTGAAAACCAGTTGAAGTCTGCAATGTATGGCCCAGAGAAAGATTACCAACAGTATTGTTTATCAAATTTCAAATATTCTTGTAAAACGCCTGTGCGACAAATTTTACCCATGTCTCATAGTGGGTTAAAAAGTTGTACAACCGGGTAAAGTTATCATGGCTCTGTGAACGGAGCAAATATTTTAACTGGGTGAATTAGGTAGATCCTTGAACGACTTAACCCTGCAAAAGACGCGCTCGGGTTTTGTGGCGCTCGGTATGCACTCGGTGAGCGTCCGGCGTTCGACTGTGAACGTACTCCAGGGGTGTACAAAGCGAACGACATTCAGAGGCGTCCGCCAACCAGTCAAGATTCAAAAATCGTTTTGAGGAAGCGTCTAGCAGTGGAAGAGCTGAGACTCGAGTACTCAAGTGCTATAATTGTAATCAGGAGGGACACCGGTTGGTAGATTGCAGAAAACCAAGACGAGAAAAAGGTTCTTGTTTCCACTGTGGGAAAATGACTCATAAGGTAAAAGACTGTCCAGATAAAAATAAGTTGAATGTTACTGCATCTACAAATATTATTGATTTAAAGAGTCCTTATTTAGTACCCATTAATTTTTCAGCTTTTGACAAAGATATTCTATGCAAGTATGCAGTTGTAGCAATATTGGATTCAGGAAGCCCAGTTAGTTTCATTCAAGAAAAATATGTACCTAAAGATTTATGCTTACCTTATGTTGAAAATAATAATTTTACAGGTATAAATGGTAGTAAACTTGAGATTATTGGTGTTTTTAAAATAAACATTGAAGTTAACGATATTAAAATTGACATGAAATTTTTGGTTGTTCCTGACTTCACTATGGCTCACAATGCTTTATTAGGTAGGGATTTCATATGTAATCCATTGATAAAAGTAACAATGAATGATACTCTTATAATTGAAATAAATAGTCAAAATATTATTAATAATGAGTCGGAAATTGATTTTTTACAAAGCATTATGCATATTGATATTAATCCTGACAATAAGGTGACTGAATGTTTAGATATCAACCCTAAAATTTCTTATAATCATTGCCAAAAACTGAAAAACCTTTTTGAAATTGAGTATATAGATAAGTGGGGCACAGATGTGGTGTCACATGATTTCAAGATGAAGATTGTTCTTAAGCACTCACAACCAATAAGTTTTCGCCCTCGTAGGTTGGCAGTTAGTGAAAAAGAAAAACTTAGAAAAATACTTGATGATTTGTTAGCTGAGAAAATTATTAGGCCAAGTATTTCCCCTTATGCGAGTGCAATTGTTCTAGTTCCTAAAAAAAAATGGTGAATTAAGGTTAGCTATTAATTACCGAGAAATAAATAAAATAACAGTTAAAGACAATTTTCCTACTCCTTTAATAGACGATCAGATAGACAAATTAAAAAACAATAGTACATTATATACCTAGGTAGAGAAGTTGGTCATTATATACCGAGCGCTTTTATAAACCGAGGCGCATAGCGCCGAGGTTTATAATGCGTAAGGTATATAATGACTTTCTCTACCGTGGAATATATAGATTTTTTTTTACTACTGCTCTAGTGGAAAATAAAAAATAAGTTTGAAATCTGCGCTCAATTTATTTTTTCTGGTTGGAAGTGCTGCCCTCTATCAACATCTATGGTAATTTCCCATGATACATACAGGAACCTGTTTTTTTGATTAAACTGACAGTTTGAAATTGAAATTAAACCAATAGAAACCTGTAACGTTATGACAATATCCTTGCGTCATGACGTCATTTTCATTATTGACCTAGGTTTTTTTTCATTATTTTCATTATTAACCTAGGGAGAGAAATTCAATTTTTTCCGAGAAAAATAGATTGAATAATGACTACTTCTCAGGTTAGTAGTAAAAAAAATATATTATACAACTTTGGATTTAAAAAGTGGGTTTTTCCATGTGAAAATGTCAGAAGATAGTATCCCTTACACTTCTTTTGTAACTTGTTTTGGGCAATTTGAATATACAAAAATGCCATTTGGGTTGTGCAATGCGCCCAGAGTATTTCAGAGATTTACTTACTTCATTTTTGAACCATTGATAAGAGAAAATAAAATATTGTTGTTTATTGATGACATCTTGATTGCGACGACAACAATAGAGGAACATTTCGAAATTTTAAGTCAAGTTTTTATTTTATTAAGAAAGTATGAGCTTAAGCTTCGGTTAGATAAATGTAGCTTTTTATATCATGATATTATTTACCTTGGATACCGAATTAGTAAGGAAGGGATTAGGCCTAGTATTGCCAACGTTTCCTCAGTATTAAGTTACCCACTACCTAAAAATACTAAAGAAGTTCACCGTTTTGTAGGATTGGCAGGGTATTTTAGGCGCTTTATACCTAATTTTTCAATTATTGCAAAGCCCTTTTACGACTTAATCAAGAAAAATGTAACTTTTGAATTTGGACCTAAAGAAGTTGAGAGTTTTGAAACTTTAAAAAATAAATTAGCTACTTACCCAGTGTTAGCCATATACTCACTTGAATTATCCACAGAGCTGCACTGTGATGCCAGTTCCGTGGGATTCGGAGCAATACTTTTGCAAAAACAGAAAAATGGTCTGTTTCAACCTATTTTTTATTTCAGTAAAAGAACGTCCGAAGTTGAATCCCGAATGCATAGTTATGAGTTAGAAATGCTTGCAATAATTTACGCTGTGGAACGATTTCATACATATTTACTAGGTGTACATTTTAAAATTGTTACAGATTGTGAAGCAATTAAGATGGCTCTTAATAAACGCGAGATAAATCGTCGGATTAATCGTTGGGCTCTGATTTTGCAGGGGTACGATTATGAAATGCAGCATCGCGGAAATCAACGTATGCAGCATGTTGATTGTTGATGCGTTGAGTCGAGCCACTAATATTCTTATTCTTGAAGAAAATACATTCGAACAAAATTTGTCTATTTCTCAGAATCTTGATCCTGAGATAGTTGCTATTAAAAATAAACTATTAACAGAAGAAGACAAACATTTTGAGCTTTTTGATGGTTTAATTTACAGATAATGTAAAAATAATAAAAATACCTTATTTTACGTTCCTAAATCCATGGAAGACAAGGTTATTTTTAATTGTCACGATGCATTAGGGCATGTTGGCATTGATAAAACCTTAGAATACCTTTCTCGTGTATACTGGTTTCCAGATTGTAAAAATAAAATTAAGAACTATATCAGTAACTGTCTAAAGTGCATTTGTTACGCGTCGAATTCAAATAAAAATGAAAATGTTTTACACAGCATTCCTAAGGGCGATAAACCCTTGAATACGTTGCATATAGATCATTATGGTCCGCTTGAAAAAACACCAGGCAAAAAATATATTTTTGAAGTTATAGACGCTTTTACAAAGTTTGTGAAATTCTACGACGTTAAAACAACTAAGTCTTGTGAAGTGATCAATAAATTAAAAGACTATTTTAATCATTATAGCCGTCCGATTCGTATTGTTTCCGACAGGGGCGCTGCCTTTACTTCGAACGAATTTGAAAAATTTGTATTAGAGAATAACATTATTCACGTTAAAATAGCTACAGGTTCTCCCAAAGCAAACGGACAAATCGAACGCATTAATAGAGACCTCACACCGATGCTCTCTAAGTTAACTGAATTTAAAAATAAATGGTGTAAATAATTAGCTGAAGTAGAATTTGCAATTAATAATTCTTTTTGCCGATCTAACACTTCGCCTTCAAAATTATTGTTTGGTGTTAATCACCCAAGATTACTTGAGAAATTATTTAGATTGTCAAAATGAAGATAGTACCGATTTAGAAGTTTTACGAAAAGAAGCTCAAGCTCAAAACGAAAAAGTACAGAATTATAATAAAAGATACATAGAGAATAAATCTAGAAGTGTTACTAAATATAAATTAGGTGATTACGTCATGGTTCCTAATGTTGATGTCACAGCAGGGGTCAACAAGAAACTACTCCCTAAATTTGGAGGCCCTTATGAGGTAGTAAAAGTTCTCGATAACGATAGGTACCTTATTAGGGATGTAGAAAACTTTCAAGTTACGCAGAAACCCTTTGAGGGCATATTTGGCCCAGAAAACTTGAAGTTGTGGTTGCATTGAGAATATATTTTTATCTAATTATGATTATGTACTTACCTTATTATGTCTTTACTGACCTTATTATGTCTTAACTTACCTTATTATGTCCTTACTTGCCTTATTATGTCTTTACTTACCTTATTATGATGTATCTATTCAATTTATGCATCTTCTTGTAAGAATTTTACGGATTTATGGTTGAATTATGAATTATGAATGATTATGTACATATTATGATGTTGTTTACTGTTTTATGAATTGTTTTTCTCAAGTATATTAAGATTTATTTACTTACCTTATGTAAATCGTTTCCATTTATGATGTTATTTGAAATTATGAATATTAGGATAATCTTATGAAATTTATGTTTTACTCTTGAAATTATGAAAATTATGTAACCTTTATGAAACATTTGAGTATTATGTAGTATTATGCAGTGATTTTATGTTTTTTTTTATGTTTTATACCTATTATATGTAATTACCTATAAGGATAGGATATTTTTATGATATTTAAGAATCATTGCCAAAAACAAATAAAAGTATTGGACAACGGTGCCTTTCGTATCTTTGTCCAAAGGTATTCAATAACATTCCCAATAATATAAAAGAAATCAATTCATTTAAGGTATTTAAAAGTGCGCTTCAAGAATGGATATTCAATCAACCCCGTAAATTTTATCATCAGTTTTTTACAACAAAATACATTTACATTTAAAATCCTATCTTGTCATTCTTAGATGAGGTTAGGTAACAGTTATTACATGATATAAAAAATTCTTCCCTTTCTGATTAGGATTCTTTTGTGGTTTTTTTTTTTGGGTTGCTTTTGCACTAAAACTGTAGAAGTTCACAAAGTTTAATTAAGGTGAATCATTCTGTATTAAGTTCCTTATTATAATCGTTGTACCTACTTATTTATTTTGTCGCTTTCATTTGTGACTCTTTTGAGGGTGCATTGGCAGATGCACACCCACTCACAAGTTTTCTTTTGTGGGTTTTCAGGTTTGTTTGTGCATGTTCTGAAGAGTATGAGTGAAGAGTATATAATTTAAATTTGGACAACTATTATAGAATATCATGAATAAACTTTTTGTATTGTATGTATTGTATTGTATTTATGTCATTATTATGTGTGTTATTACATCACTTAATTTACAATTATTTTTTGATGATATTGTATTATTATAGTTATGTATTTAAGACTTTTGTATAACTGGTTTGAATTTTGTTTTTCAACTCGGTCGAGGACGACCTTAATGTCAGAATTGGCCGAACTTTAGTAGACAAATTTGAATTTAAATTTCGCGCCTCCCCGCCGACATTATGTCGTCTGTCAGACAGGTTGGGATGGCGGGAGAAAGAAATCTTGGCAACAGAGGTTATGTTATGTTCTTGGCGGCAGGATGTTTTTGTAACGTCTCTCTTGAAAATATACCTATATTTAAAAAAGTAATTCGAGTATTATAATTTATTAATTATGGCTGTCAGTTTCTTAAGTTACTACAAAAGTGTGAATTTTCCTTAATTTTGCTTAAATAACTCAAGTTTCCAAAATTTTTTCTAAAGTCATTTTTCACTAAAAAATTTTGAATTTTTTTTAAGTGGAGTTCATCACTTTCCTCTTTCTTCTGGAAAAATTCTACAATTTTTGCTTTGCCAGTTTTCCAGAAAAAAATTGAAATGTGAAAGGATGAATTTTGCTTAAAAAAGTCAATTTTCCAGAACTTTCCTCTTGACTTTCCTTGACGTGATTTTTCACTAGAAAATTTTGAAATTTTTTCATAATGAGCTCCTCATTTTCTACTTTCCCCTGGAAAAATTTCACAAGTTTTGCTTTATTAGTTTTCCAGAAATAAATTAAAATGTGAGAGGATGAATTTTCCTTAATTTTACTTGAAAAAGTCATTTTTTCAAAATTTTTCCTGGAGCGATTTTCCATTGAAAAATTTTGAAATTTTCTTATAATGAGCTCCTAACTTTCCTCTTTTTCCTCTTTTGCCAGTTTTCCAGAAAAAAAATTGAAATGTGAGAGGATGAATTTTCCTTAATTTATTTGCTTAAATAAGTTAATTTTCCAGAATTTTTTATGGAGTGATTTTTCATTGGAAAATTTTAAAATTTTGCTATAATGAGCTCTTTACTCTCCTCTTTCTTCTGGAATAATTTCACAATTTTCCCTTAGCCAGATTTCTGGAAAAAAATTAAAATGTAAGAGGGTAAATTCTCCTTGATTTTACTCAAAAAAGTTAGTTTTTAAATTTTTCCTAGAGTGATTTTTCACTGGAAAACTTTGAAAATTTTCATAAAATGAGCTCTTCATTTTCCTCCTATTCCTAGAAATTTTGCGAAAATTAAATTTTCCCTTTGTCAGTCTTCCAAAAAAAAATTAAAATGTAAAAGGTGAATTTTCCTTAATTTTACTTGAAAAAGTCACTTTTTCAGAATTTTTCCAGGAGTAATTTTTCACTGGAAAATTTTGAAATTTTCCAATTTTGAGCTCCTCACTTTTCTTTTTCTTTTGGAAAAATTTCACAATTTTTGCTTTGTCAGTTTTCCAGAAAAAAATTGAAATGTGAAAGAATGAATTTTGCTTAAAAAAGTAAATTTTTTCAGAACTTTCCTTGGAATGATTTTTCACTAGAAAATTTTGAAATTTTTCCATATTGAGCTCCTCATTTTCTTTTTTCTCCTGGAAAAATTTCACAAGTTTTGCTTTATTAGCTTTCCAGAAATAAATTAAAACGTGAGAGGATGAGTTTTTCTTAATTTTACTTGAAAAAGTCATTTTTTCAGAATTTTTCCTGGAGCGATTTTCCATTGGAAAATTTTGAAATGTTCTTATCTCACTTTTCTCTTTCTTCTGAAAAAATTTCACAATTTTCCCTATGCCAGATTTCTAGAAAAAAATTAAAATGAAAGAGGGTGAATTCTCCTTAATTTTGCTTAAGAAAGTTAGTTTTTCAAAATTTCTCCTGGACTGATTTTTTACTGGAAAATTTTGAAATTTTCGTAAAATGAGCTCCTCATTTTCCTCTTATTCTTGGAAAATTTTCAAAATTTTCCCTTTGCAACTTTTCCAGAAAAAAATTAAAATGTAAGAGGTGGGATGCCGAATGGGAGTGCTAAGTTTTGCTTTAGGGGTCCTTAGCACCCCCCTAGTTGCGCCTATGCATAGGAATACATGAGAATACAAAGGAATATTATAAGAATACATGGGATTACATGAGAAAATAAGAATACATTAGGCTTGTACACGGGAATACATTGGCGGTTTACCCCTAGGTTTCAATAATTTCGAAAGTCTTTTGACTTTGATTTTCATTAGTAGAAGAAAATTTTTATTTTTTTTTCCCTAAATTTCATTCTTCTTTTTATTCATTTGCAAAATTTCAACCATTCCTCAAACATTTCTTCCAAAAAAAAATAAAATAAAACACTACTCAATGTTGTTTTCTGGAAATTTTATTTATTTTTTTCAATACACATTTTACCTCACAACTTTGTCAATTTCAATCCGATTTTAACGTAATTAGGCTCAAAGTGAAGCTTATTAAATCCTCTAATGTCAATTTTGTTCCAGCAATTGCGAAAAAATCGACCTATATGTCTACAAACAACCCCTAGAACACCGCCAACACGCAAAAATGCGCAGCGACCAGCTCAAATATGACAACCGGCACCTGCAAGCAGCCCTAGAAGCAGCCCAGCAACGCAGACTTCGGCGAGAAACCGCTGTAACCGAACGAGAACAACTTTTGAATCGCAGATTCGCACCCAATCCAGATATAACTGCAATTAACATGGACTATTCATTGCAACAGCAAAATTCCTTGCACAACGTCCATAGAGGGGTTGATGAAATGTTGTATACTGGAGCTAACACTTTGGAATCTTTAAGGACTCAAAGGTCAACACTTAAAGGGGCTCATAAGAGGATTATGGATATGGCTAATGTTTTGGGTATTAGTAATCATACAATGAGGCTTATTGAAAAGAGAGCTTCTGAAGACAAATTTGTTTTCATTGGAGGAGTGGTTGTTACTTTTGTGGTTATAGTTTTAGTTATTTTTTATTTGGCTTAAAAATATTGTCTTTTTTTTTTAAATATATTTTATATTTATTTTGATATGGGTATTTGATTTTATTTAGGCCCGGTTTATTCATCTTGAGATAAACTTGCTGGTAATTATTTGCATAATGCTATAAGTCAAATTGTAGGATTGCATACCTGACAGTTTATCAGAAGGTGACTGAACCTTAGGCTAGGATTACATAATTATCAGGACAATTTGAAAAAAAAAAATACTTTATTGATTACCTATTGACAAATTATGGAATAGCCAAAGCATCGTTTTGCAATTCGTGACTCAACTGAGTTTGCAAATTGGACAATTTCTCCTTCAACATGGCCACCCCCATTATGACGATATTTTCAGGTTTCAGTTGCCCGGCAGCTTCTACATTGTAGAAGAACTTGTTGGGTTTCAGCTCCCAATTATAGGCAGCTTCATCTAAAAACCAATAATTACAGTTAACATAATTTCAGTGGCAATTTATAAGTTTACATTGATCATCATCCAATTCAGTGTATTCACTTTTGGGCCATTCGTCAGGCTTGGGAAATAAGGTGTGCCTCATAGCATTGTCAGGGTCGTATTCAAAGGCAACACCGCAAGTTGGGTTCCATTTGGCGTGCTCCTTACCAAAGCCCTTTTTGGCGTAAGCCCTTACTTTTAATTCCTGCCCTTTTCGCAACTTAATTATCAAAATTTCATCGGTTTCTCCGTATTCAGCAGAATCGTCATCCCGATGTTTGGAGGTCGCTGGAATCACTCTGGGGTCGCTGGATTTCAAATCAGCGGTTGTTACATGCCTGGTTTGATCGTCAGTACATTTTACGTCAAGGGTGAATTCGACGCTGCACTCTTGACAGAAATCGGTGCAGATGCAGTCCTGTTGGATTGTTTTATTAAATAAATATGCATATGAAGTGAGTGAAGGAGCTAACAACAAAATTTTTACACAGTCATGATGATTATTTGAGAATGCAAAATCACAAAATACATTATGAGACATTTGAATTTTTATCTCAAAATCCGATAATGATAAGAATTTGAAATTTTGTGAGTCTATAGGAGAAGGTTAGGAGCGAGGGATGGTTAACTCCTTAGAATATGTACACAGATTTTAAATGTTTATTGATTCTGTTAATTTTGCAGGATTTTGAAAATCTTTACACGATTTTACGGGATTTTAGGTGATTTTGGAGCATTTTAAGGAATTTTTAAGGGTTTTTGTAGTTTGTTTCATTGCAGTTGATAGCACAAATCGACACTAATCTGTCTAAGGCATTTGATAAGGTAGACCATGGGTTATTTATTATTAAATAAATTATTATTTTATGGGATTTCTAAAGAAACATATATATTTCTAAAATCGTACCTGTTTAGTAGGCCAAACTTTGTAAAGGTTGGCAAACAATTTTTGAACCAATTAATTACCACATCTGGAATACCCCAGGGAAGTAACCTATTATATTCATCAACTCACTTACGAAATGGCTAGAAAATACTCTTCGGCTTTGTTGTAACTGGATAATCTCAAGATTTTTAGGTCAGTCTCAGATCGCAGCATCATTTTGTTACAGACTGATTTGGATGCTGTGACAGATTGGTGTCTTGACAACAAAGTTTCTATCGATATTCAAAAATGTTTCACTATATCTTACACTAGAAAAATATCTCTTGTATCAGCTGATTACAAAAGGCAAACCACCTTGAAATTATTTGCCAAAAATGTGGGGAATTTAAGAGGAATTTGTGGGAAATTTAAAGAAATTTGTGGGAAATTTGGAGGAACTTATGAGAATTTAGGAAATTTAGAAGAATTTTTATGTGGAATTTGGGAGAATTTGTGAGGAATTTAAAGGAAATTGTAGAGTCATGACATCACTGAGGCTCACATTCTTATTATAAGACTAGTTTTGTGTTGGACGTTGGATATTCATCTTTATTAAAGAAACAGGTCCAAATTTGAAAAATTCAAAAGAATAATGAATACAGTTTTTGAGGCTGATTTCCAAAATTTTTCAAGTTACTGTTTTTCACTGGAAAAATTTGAAACTTTGGGAAAATAAGCTTCTCACTTTCCTCTTTACATACAAAAAGTTTCAAAATTTTCCCTTCATTAGTTTTTCAGGAAAACTTTGAAATATGTGAGAATGTATTTTCAATTAATCCAGTTATTTTAGGTTGATTTCCAAGATTCCTCATGTTGTTATTTTCTACTGGAAAAATTTGAAATTCTGGGGAAATGAGCTTCTCACCTTCCTCTTCACATGCAAAAAGTTCCAAAATTTTCCCTTCACTAGTTTTCCATATGTGAGACTATATTTTCAATTAATTCAGTTATTGTAGGTTGATTTCCAAAATTCCTCATGTTGTAACATTCTACTGGAAAAATTTGCAATTTTGGGAAAATGAGCTTCTCAACTTCCTCTTTACATACAAAAAATTTCAAAATTTTTCCTTCCCTAATTTTCCAGGAAAACTTTGAAATATGTGAGACTGTATTTTCAATTAATCCAGTTATTGTAGGTTGAATTCCAAGATTCCCCATGTTGTAATTTTCTACTGGAAAAATTTGAAATTCTGGAAAAATGAGCTTCTCACCTTCTTCTTTACAAGCAAAAAGTTTCAAAATTTTTCCTTCACTAGTTTTGCAGGAAAACTTTAAAATGTGTGAGACTGTATTATCAACTAATTCAGTTTTTGTAGGTTGATTCCCAAGATTTTTCATGTTGCTGTTTTCCACTGGAAAAATTTAAAATTTTGGGAAAATGAACTTCTCACCTTCCTCTTTACACGAAAAAGTTTCAAAATTTTCCCTTCTCTAGTTTTCCAGGAAAGCTTTGAAATATTTGAGACTGTATTTTCAACTAATTCAGTTATTGTAGGTTGATTTCCAATATTTCTTATGTTATTATTTTCCACTAGAAAAATTTGAAATTTTAAAAATATGAGCTTCTCACCTTCCTCTTTACATGCAAAAAGATTCAAAATTTTCCCTCCACTAGTTTACCAGGAAAACTTTGAAATGCATGAGACTGTATTTTCAATTAATTCAGTTATTGTAGGTTGATTTCCAAGATTCCTTATGTTGTAATTTTCTACTGGAAAAATTTGAAATTTTAGGAAAATAAGCTTTCCACCTTCTTCTTTACATACAAAAAAGTTCAAAATTTTCCCTTCTCTAGTTTTCCAGGAAAACTTTGGAATGTGTGAGACTTTATTTTTAATTAATCCAGTTATTGGAGGTTGATTTCCAAGAATTCTCATGTTGTAATTTTCTACTGGAAAAATTTGAAATTCTGCGAAAATGAGCTTCTTACCTTCCTCTTTACATACAAAAAGTTTCAAAATTTTCCCTTCCCTAGTTTTCCAGGAAAACTTTGAAATATGTGAGACTGTATTTTCAATAAATCCAGTTATTGTAGGTTGATTTCCAAAATTCCTCATGTTGTAATTTTCTACTGGAAAAATTTGAAATTCGGGGAAAATGAGCTTCTCACCTTCCTCTTTACATGCAAAAAGTTTCAAAATTTTTTCTTCACTAGTTTTCCAGGAAAACTTTAAAATGTGTGAGACTGTATTTTCAACTAATTCAGTTTTTGTAGGATGATTCCCAACATTTTTTATGTTGCTGTTTTTCATTGGAAAAATTTAAAATTTTGGGAAAATGAGCTTCTCATCTTCCTCTTTACATGCAAAAAGTTTCAAAAATTTCCCTTCACTAGTTTTCCAGGAAAGCTTTGAAATGTGTGAGATTGTATTTTCAATTATTAATTCAGTTATTGTAAGTTGATTTCCAAGATTCCTCATGTAATTATTTTCTACTGGAAAAATTTGAAACTTTGGGAAAATGAGCTTCTCACCTTCTTTACATAGAAAAAGTTTCAAAATTTTCCCAATTTTGAAATCGGATTTGCTGTAGAATTAATCATTTAGGTTTTACAGCCTGTAAAAGTTGCAAAAAAGTCAATTTCCGAAACAGTTGAAGACAGGTATATGACATTGTACATATAATATGTCTAGCATTATTCTCAGAATCCAGAAATGTCATAATCTCGGTCATAATGTACAGGAGGAAGCATTTAAAAGAATAAAATTGATACCAGCGAAGCTATTTTTTAGACACCCTGTATGATAAAAAATATATCGAAAAATTTCAAACAAAAAAATAAAATCAACGTGTCTGAGCAATTTTCCAAAAATTCTACCGTTTTCAAAATAATGAATTTATGCGGGACTTTATGAACTCAGTGTACATTGGAATTACTGGAATTACTCATGTAATGCGCAATACATGTACAAATTTTGATCCAGTTGTTACCCCCTCGTTTCTAGGTATTCCCCAAGGTATTACCAAGTATTTCTAGGTATTTCTCAGTATTTCTAGGTATTTCCAAAGTATTTCTAGGTATTTTCAACTATTTTTAGCTATTTCCAAGTATTTCCAGGAATTTGTACACCCATTTCCTTAGGTGAAAAGCCCTTCGGTATCTACCTTATGATTTAGATTTTAGAAAACTTTGAAAGTTCATAACTTTTTTTCTATTGAAGATATAAAGCTGAAATTTTCAGTAATTCCTATTCCAGTAGAGGACTACAATCCCTGAAAATTTCAACTCATTCGGAACTATAGTTCCTGAGATAAAATTGTGTTAAAGAGTCAAGAAATATTTTATTAAATAATCAAAATCAAAGTTGCAAGTAAAATTCCAAGCAAAATAATTAAAATACACATAACAACACATATTCAAAATAAACTTGCTTGGCCGTCACGCCATATTGAATTTTTATTTTTTGAAATGGATTGTATGGCCTAATAGAAGGTTAGGAGCAATAACGTTAGGAGTATCCGAGGGAGTATCTTATGGCAAAATGCAAAATCCCAAGTGGATTTCTTCTAAACTCGAAAATAATCATCACAAATTAATATTGAACTATTCAACAGCAACATTTTTGTTTTTGGTATATCAATTAAATCATCAAGGGCCAGTTTATTCATCTTCTGATAAACTCTCAGGTATAAGAATGCAATCTCTAATTCCATTGATTGGCCAGTTATCTACTAACCGATAGGTAGATTTATCTGAAGATGAATAAACCGAGCATAAACGTTATTTTCTTACTCTGGGGTACTGCAAACGCTGCACAACTTCATCAGAAATCAACGGAATCAGCCCTATCCGGTGGGCCAAAAACTCGTCGCTGAGCACAGTGGAATTGGCCTCCAATTTCACCCAATCGATTGCCAATGTCGGAGTTTCGGCTATCATTACCCGTCTTATGCTGTTAGCCACACTATAATTTAACATTTAGTCGAATCAAAGCCTTTGGGGGGGCCCTATAAACAAACTCACCTTAAATCCGTGTCTTCCAGGTAAAATTTTACATTTTCGTCAGTTAAATCAGTTATATGAAGAGAGGGTTGATTAGCGTAAGGCATTTTGTGTTAATTTAATAGAATAATAATTAAATTATAATATTTATAACATAATACACATACAACAAACTAAATAATAATAATTTGAGGTTAGGTCAACGGAAATGAATCAAAAATGTCTCTTCTTTTTTTTTGCAATATATTGTCATCTTTGTTTTTTTTTTGACAAAGAGAGAGACATAACACTTGTTTGTCAAATGTCCTTAATGTAAACAAAAACAATTCAAATATTTGTTATTTTAAACAATATTAATTATGGCTGTACCTCCGATAGCTTCCCAAAGCGTTACTTTAGGTAAAAATTAACTAAATTATTGTCCTTTAAATAATGTAATACATGTTTTATTTAGTCAGTGAAGATCATGCCTTTGTGACCCCGGTGAAGCTGGTAAAAACCTACGAGGACATGCAGAAATGGGACAAATCCGAAGCTTATTTTGTAAATAATAAGATATTTAACCAACTCCCACAATTAATTACTTTTTTCTAGGAATATTTAGGCTTCATTTTTGCCATAAACGACTCCATAAAGGGCATCAGCAATTCCAATGGTTCGGCAAAGGCTTCAGAAAATATTAACAAGGTTTGCATGCTGTTGGATACTCTGAGCAAATGGGTGGACGAAATTCCTGCTATTGAGCAAAATCAGCGATTCGGCAATGTTGCGTTTAAGACTTGGTATAATCAGTTGAAAGAGGTATAAAGAAAATCAAGAAATACTAATTAATCTATATTTCACAAAAGCACTGAACAGACATAACATATCCAGTGTCGTACTGGCCCACCGGGCAAAATTCCGGTGGGCCAGATGACGTATTCAATAGGTGGGCGATTCGAATATTTATTTAAAAAAAATATCCCACTCCCCACGCCAAAAATCAACTATCATATCAATTATCAATATCAACTCCCTTCTGCTCTGAAAAAGTTCAAGATTAAGCTCGCCGCATATCAGTGAATTTGAATTCAACTGACGTACTCGTTGTTGATTATCAGAAATACAGAGACAGGGTAGGTACCTAGTGAATTTGTAAAAAAAGCCACATCCTCTCATTGGTTTTGGTTTGGATTTGTTTGTTTTTATATACAGGGTGTCCCAGGGAAAACAGTCCACCTCGATTTATTGAATTTGGGATGAGAATCTAGAAAAACGCTCGGATGACACATCGATTTTTGATGGGGAACTATTTTTCAGTTTTTTTCATCGCCATAGCTTCAACCCCCTAGCTAGGGGGACAATAACCCCCCAAATTTGAATAGGGGATTTTTATACCTTAGATACCTTCTACATAATTCATTACTTTATGCCCGTGCGGGCATAAAGACGCAAAAAACAGTTTTCGATTAACTTATTCTTTATTAAAAAAATATAAATTTACGCTTATAAACATATCATTTTCTGTACAACTGTCAAAAAAATGATGATGTCTTAGTCCCAGAGACCGGCTGCAGAGAATCTGTCGTCATAAGGTGGACAAACGAAAATAATATGAATATTAGTTGAGGCACTAATTAAGAGAATACGCGAAGGTTGCCTGCGAAAATCCTGCCGAAACAGTGTTTTTCAATTTTTTTTATTAGATAAATAATTACAGTAACTATCTTTTAGAGGTGGACATGAAATGAAATCACTATGTTGTAGGAGAGCGTGAGGCGAATTCAACCATATAAGGCTGCCTGCCCCCACCCTGCCGCAACACCCTTGCAGCCTGGCTAAAAAGGTCGGTTTTTTATCAATAACTATCGTCATCAGGTGGACGCATAAATTAGGTCTCAAATTAAAGGTCTCGATCTCCTCTTTCCATCAAACTAAGGCTGCCTGCTCAAATCCTGCCGAAAGATGTGGTTGCCTCGTTTTTAAAGTTTCCGGTACGTGCGCCGCGCGCTAGGTATTTGCGGAGCGCGAGGTGTTTAGTGGCGAAAAAGTCGTATACAAAACACCAAAACGAGTTTTTATTTTTGCTCCTTGTCACTTTGTGTTACTTCTCATATTTAAATTATTGATAAGGATCTATAAAACAACACGTCAGGATCTAACACAACGCGCCGTGCTTTTTGCGAAGCCAGGCCCACTGGCGTAACTAGCCATCTGACCTGGGGGGGGCCTAGGGTGGGCCTGGCAGAGGCGCCGATTTTTGAAAGTCCTCATAGGCGCAGGATAATATTTTTATAAATTTGTTTATAGGCGGAGGCGAAATTTTTTTTCCGGATGCCACGCCTAAAAACGTCTTTTTTATAGTGTACATATTTTTTCATTTTTTTTTTCTACGAGCGTCTGAAAAGTGCTTTTTTCTGCACGCATTTTAGGCCATGAAAATATCACATCATTAAAAAGCGAGGAGTGAACAGATGCCTGTTACTTTTATGTCCTAAAATGCCTTATATCCCGATTATTATCAAAGAATAGAGATGGAGAATAGCAACATTAGCAATATAAAGTAATAGAGCATAGAATTGACCACAAATAACGAAAGGACAAAATACTAATACCTCCCTAATCTAAGACTAATTCGACTTGTATAATTCTTATACAAAGTTGTGTAAATTTAAATTACATACACTTGGCTAATCATAAAACTGCTACGCATTTTCCTATTGTGTTGTATTATGTAAATCAACCTTTTTTATCATCTCAAAAATAACGAAAGGAGTCACCTTTGAACCAAACATAACATAAAAACATGTTGCATTTACTTTTGTTCAGCTTTGACATTGACAAAAACTGTCTGACCTAAGTTTTTCACAAGAGACTTTTTATTGATGAGCCTGACACACTAGGCAAATTTGAAAAATATATATTGACTGTACGTTTAATGTTTGGCCAAGTGTACCAAGTAAAATTTTCATTTTTTATATCATTTTTCCAAGGGTGATCAAGAGCCGGCAATAATCCAAATATGAACTATCATAAGTAGTGACACAATTTAAACAAAAATGCAATAGGAATGCGACAATGTGATGTAACACTTGCGAAGCAAAATTCAAACGAAAAGGCAAAATGAATGTGACACTTGCAAAGCAACATTTGAACAATTTCTAATTGGTAAATCTCAAACTTCTTCTTGTCTCAATCAAGTACACTTGGCCAATCATACAACTGGTACATATTTTCCCATTGTGTTGTATTGAGTGAATCGACCTCTTTTTTATCACCTCAAAAATGACAAAAAGGGTCAAGTCAGTATCATCTTTTAACCAAATATAACCGGTGAATTCACCGATGAGTTAGCTATCTTTATTTAGTAAATGGAAAATGACAATGACCGACATAGAATGGTGGATCCATCGGTAAAATTTGATGAGAATAAAAACGCAGGATTTAAAGTCTGTTTTTTTTTTTAAAGATAATTCCCCAAGTCAAAAATTTAGTAACTATGTTGGCAATACAAGCCTTTTGTACATAAGAATTTAAAAGCATTGAAAATTTTACATTGCATTGCCAACATAATGTCAATTTGACTATTATCTTTAAAAAAAAAAACAGATTTTACCTTTGTTCATCTTTGACATTGACAAAAACTGTCTGACCTAAGTTTTTCAGAACAGACTTTTTGTAGTTAAGCCTGACTCACACTAGGCAAATTTGGAAAAAATATATTGCCTGTACCAGTTTTATGTTTGGCCAAGTGTACATGATACTGATATTACCACACGAAACGGAATGACCATTAAATACGTTTGTACTTTCGTATTCTCTACGAGAGCTCCGAGCACCCATGAGAGGTTGCTCATGGGAGCACCTGCCCCAATGCCCCCTTGTAGTTGGGGCCAGTGGTCTAGGGCCTGTTATTGCGACTTATTGGAATCTTTAAAAAAGTAGAACAGTGCAATTATAGGCTATAAGCTGACTAAACCGGGCTTAAATCACTTACCTAGCTAACCCAGCTTATCAGCCACTGTAAAGTACATTGGGTTAAAATCAAAACTGTTTGCTAGCCAGTCCATAGTTTCAATTCCAACCTCATTATAAAATAGAAATAAGTAAGTGGTGCGTTAATTTTGCTGACCAGTGTATATATCAGCAACACCGATTCACGGATTCACAAGAAAAATATTTTGTCAAACTCCCAAATTAATGTTATATTGCTAATGCTAATTTAATAGCTTTGGTATACTGTATCACTTCTGCCATCGCAATTTGCACTGACCTTTGGGTGGCACAATTGCACACAGCCCGTTAGTTGGTGGATCGGAGAATCGAATGGGGTCGATAACATAAAATTATAATAGGTAACGTAGCCTTCATAAAATACCAAATTATTGAAGTTTTTTCTGGGGGGGGCCTAGCGACGTCCAGGGGGGCCCGGCCCCCCCAGGCCCCCCTCTAGTTACGCCACCAGGCCTAGGAATTCCACCCTCTGGCCGCTACGGCTACCACCGCAAGTGCAGTATCTAGACGTAGAAGTCGTCGAGCTTTCATTTCCGATTATTTTTTTTTTAAATAAACGTGAAATTCGTGCTTGTTTTAAGATGAATTGTTTTCTCTATAGGAAAGACAATGGAGTTGTTCAGCAATTTTCTTCTAATGCAGCGTTGAAAAAGTGCATAAATTTTATTGCTTATCGTCGTGAGAAGAATTTCAAATACAAATATTGTGAAGGACTGCTTTTGTAATTTTTTTTTACTTGCAAGTTTCCTATTGACAGGTTTGTTTACAGAATCGTGACGTCAGAAAAGGTAGCCATCATGGAAGTATTGTTTTGGCGGGAAATTTTTTATTTCAAATTTAGTATTATTTTTTGTGTAACAAGAGCGGTATCAGTTAAATAAAAACTGGTCATATAAATATTGTGCAGTATACACTATCGATTTAAAACAAATTTGGAAAATTTTAGTTCACTTGCAAGTTCCCTATTTACAGTGGTTAAATTCCCAGAGAAGAGAAAACCGGTCAGCAAAAATCTGTCATTAGCTGACCGTCTATTATTCATCGATAGACTATCAAAATTTATATTTTGAAATTTAGTTAGGAAATGTCATCTTTTTGACATTGACTTTAGTTGTCAAACTTCGTCATCGCAAAATATAATCGCTCTGACTGCGATTTTACTAAATATAAACTATTAGAGCACAAGAGACGTCATTGCAAAATATAATCGTGCTCAGCACATTTCTGCAAAATCTAATCGTTTGTACCTCAAATTGTACTTGTTGTTAGAAGGTAATTATTATTGTTAGTGTTGTGTGTTTTCATTGTGGATAATTTAATTCAACTTATTAATCCATTGTGTAACAATGGAAATGTTAATGTAATCGAGTATGGAAATCAAAACAATTACATATAGTACTCCGCTTAAAGTTAAAAGGGAAATCTGACGAAGAGCAATTCCGACGACTTTAACTTGCGTTGAAATGAGTGGGTGAATGAATTTTCAATAATAACAAAGACACAATGGATAGTGGAGAAAACTTAGCCAAAACTGCAGAGATTATTATTTCGTAAACAATACAATATGTGCCATCACAACAGGTTTAATAATTATAAATAAATAAATAAAATAAAGGAAAACTAATAAAAGTTCAGCCAACTGCTCCTAGTAGAAGGAAGATACAAAATGTTGAAATGGGAGAAAAGAGAATTCAAAGTGGGTGCCCCATTTATATGAATCAGCCACGTTGTGCTGTCAACGATTAGATTTTGCAGGATTGTTCTGAGCTCGATTATATTTTGCAATGCTAACGTCTCTTGTGCTCTAATAGTTTAAATTTAGTAAAATCGCGCTAAGGCCAATTATATTTTGCAATGACGAAGTTGGAGGCGTGTCTTGTGCTGTAATAGTTTATATTTAGTAAAATCGATGCCCGGATTGCCCGAACTACTTCGACTTAGTGGAGAAAAGAATATGCTGCAGAACAATCCGAAGTACATTTAGCCTGTTGCCCCAATTCTGAGATAATATACATAATATCCCGAGGGGTAAACCACTAGTAGAAATCATTGTACATACATTTTTTTGGGAATTGCATGGCAATCAATAAGCAATACAAGGGAATCGCTTGGGAATCCCTGAAAATCGCTAGTAATCGCCTATAGGAATTCATGGAAATCGCATTGGAATCCATTGGCAATCTCTGAGAATAATGTGGTAATCGCTGGGAATCACATCTCCTCGGTACCCCCCTTATGATTTTTTCGGAAAACTTTCAAAGGTCGTAACTTTTTTTCTATTATAGATAGAAAGCTGAATCTTTCACTGAATTTTATCCTTTTCCAAGGACTACAATCCCTGAAAATTTCAGCTCATTTGCACTTATAGTTCCTGAGATAAAATCGTGTTAAGCAATTGGGGTGATTTATCAATTTTTCAATTATTCTGAGTGTTTTTTTTCATAGATTTCGGCTTCAAATCTGAGAATAATTTAGTTTATGGAGTTCAGGGTATCACGAGGAACCAGTAGGACACAAAATCTCGACAAAAAAAAATTTGAAATTTCATCATTTTAGTAAGAAGGTACCCCCCTTATGATTTTTTTGGAAAACTTTGATAGGTCGTAATTTTTTTTCTATTATAGATAGGAAGCTGAATCTTTCACTGAATTTTATCCCTTTCAAAGGACTACAATCCCTGAAAATTTCAGCTCATTTGCACTTATAGTTCCTGAGATAAAATCGTGTTAAGCAATTGGGGAGATTTATCAATTTTTCAATGTTTCTGAGTGCCTTTTGTCATAAATTTCCGCTTCAAATCTGAGAATAATTCAGTTTATGGAGTTCAGGGTATCACGAAGGACCAGTAGGACACAAAATCTCGACAAAAAAAAATTTGAAATTTCATCATTTTAGTAAGAAGGTACCCCCCTTATGATTTTTTTGGAAAACTTTGATAGGTCGTAATTTTTTTTCTATTATAGATAGGAAGCTGAATCTTTCACTGAATTTTATCCCTTTCAAAGGACTACAATGCCTGAAAATTTCAGCTCATTTGGACTTATAGTTTCAGAAATAAAATGGCATTAAATAATTTTGGGTAAATTTATCTATTTTTTTGTATATTTTTCAATTTTGAAGAAATCAATTTGAAATTTTCCTATAACATATTTCTAACTTTCTTCTTTGCAGTTACAAAGTTTCAAATTTTTATCATTATCGAATTTCAAGATAAAAATTCAAATATCTCATAATGCATTAATGCCCTGTTGTCTATGGACGCCTATGAGTATTAGCTTGAGAGCTTAAAAATCAGTGTCATAGAAAAACTATCTCACCCATTATGAAAAATAGTGAAATCTATCAAAACCGTGGATACTGTCATTTATCATGGAGAATTGTTAAACTAACTCCATATTTCTAGAATATATTATTACCAGACCCTACTATTACATTGGCGTAGAATTGTAAAAAGTGTACCTCTATATCCTTTAATTTTGAATTATTTCCCCCCCTATAGGAAGCAATCGAACTCCTGCAATCAGTCCTCCCAAGCGAACTCTACCGATCAATCCCCGAAATAATGGTCTACCTGGAAGAAGGTTTCGGAAACCCCATAAGAATCGACTACGGCACCGGACACGAAATCTCATTCGTCATGTTTTTATGTTCCCTGTACAAAATCGGATTCCTAAAGGAGTCCGATTTTGTCCCAACCGCTTGCAAAGTGTTCGTCAAATATGTAGACTTGGCCAGGAAGTTGCAGCAGGCCTACAGAATGGAACCGGCCGGAAGTCACGGAGTTTGGTGTCTGGACGATTATCAGTTCGTACCTTTTATTTGGGGCAGTTCACAATTAATAGGTAAGATGTAAAGATTTTGCTATACCAGCTAAAGTAGACAGTCCAGGAAATAATTTTTTCATTGATAATTCTTTTCCAAACTCAAATTCAGGTCAATCACAAATCCAACCAGCTATGTTCCTAAAATTCAACATAGTAAACAAATACAGCGACGACTACATGTTTCTTGGCTGCATCAAATATATAAATCAAGTCAAGCTGGGCCCCTTTGCTGAACACTCCAACCAACTATGGAACATCAGCGGTGTACCAACATGGCTGAAAATCAACCTCGGCCTTATTAAAATGTACAAAGCCGAAGTATTGTGCAAGTTTCCGCTGGTGCAGCACATTGTGTTTGGGTCGTTGTTCACGTTGCAACCGGCTGAGGCGGGTGCTAGTATTCGGAGACCCCCTGCACCGGAGCCTCCTGCTGTTTTCGTCACTCCAACTCCTTCAATGATCCGGCAAAGTTCTGAAACTTCTTCGGGACAACAGGAACAGGATGATGTTTCTAGTCAGTGATTGGATATTATGTATGATGTGATTTGTTTATTTATTTGAATGGGAAATATTGTAATTTTTTTTTTTTTTTGTATATATGTTTATGAAAAATTAGTTGTTTTGTTTATTTTACAGATTACTCATATTATTCAATGATAATCATAGAAGGTTTTTTTTCTAAGTAAGTTCCCCTACTGTTTTTCCCCTTGTTGCAATGATCGATAATTTCTTACTTTTTTTTTTGTCTATTTGCCAAGTGTAGGTATTTTAATTAATAATAATTATTGTGTAAATATGTATTTATTTTTCGAAAATTCCTTGGAATTTATTTTAGTACATGGTCACCCACAAGTGTGTTTTGAGGTTGGGGAATTACAGTTTATTGAATCATATTTTGCCAATTGCCTACTAGCATTGGAAAAAAAAATTATAATCATGAGACTCTAAAGAATTTTGATCCTAAACCCTCTGGGCACGTCATTGATCCTAGAGAAGTCAATTTATTCATATTTTGAAGAACCGTAAGGTGCCCAAAAAGCTCAGAATACTTGAAATTGAAATCAGAAATATGTATGTAGTTTTAACAGATTCTGAAAGTCACTCGAATTAAATCACATCAATAATTTATTAAATAAATATCTTAAAACTAAACAGACTTTTATAAATAAAATAATACTTTATCAAATGGCAGAAACAATAAAAAATAAATAACAATAATTAATATATATGTGTAGGTAGTACCTACCTATAGGATCAAATTTGATAATTCAAGATTCTTTTATTTGAAACAATTTTCATTCAATAATTACAATAGAACAAACAAACAAATAATCAATACAAAGAAAATCATTATTCAATCATAGAAAAAAAATTATTATTGTCGATAACAATAACATTTTTCCCAATTGAAAACCTCCTTTGGTATCAATCAAATCTCACAATTATTTTAATTTGTAACTAAAGCCACAGGAAACAAACCATTCAAATCGATGTCAAATTTCAAAGGAATCTTCTTCATTTGGCGATTATTTTTCACCAAAACTGCTTCGTTGACTTGACATCTGGATTTCTTCCTATTGCCAATCAAAGTACCATTATTGCCAGTATAACTAACACTGTCTGCTCTTATTTCTCCCTTAATGACAACAGTCCCATTGTTGCCAATATACTCAACAATACCTTGACACTTTGTTATGTTAACTGAACAATTATTTCCAACTAGTTTGACTCTGGAACAATTGGACACTATTGTGATTGAATTATTATTGCCGATTAATTGTAACAATCCCAAATTTTGCACTATTGTAATCGAATTGTTGTTGCCGATTATTGTTGTAGTTGTAGTATTTTTTTGGTAAGTCAATTGCAAATTGTTGCCGGTGATTTGTTGAGGCGCTGAGGCACTATTTACTACTGGTACCACCATGATTTAAAAAACTCGACTGGATATCGTATAGTATTTTGCGCTGAATATATTCTTCAATGATCGGTACGGTTTTTCACATTGAATTTTTCGGGTACGATCGCTTGCTGCATTCAAGGGGAATTACTTTTCGACCGATTTAAGTGGTGAATCAGATTATAGTTTATCGACCCAGATCAATTTATGTGTTTTTGTGGATTATTTACTTTTCCATCGATTGTTTTTGATTTAATTAAACCTACTTAATTGATTTCTGAGAGACTTAAAATGCAAATTAAAACTGGGTTTAGAATTAGAATCCTAAAATAATGCTTTTGGTTAACAAGATATTGTGGTAATTTGAACAAATCAAAATAAATTATAGACTATTAGAAATAGCGTTAAATTGAAGAAGTCTTGGAGCATACGCTTATTATTTCACACGATGCAAAAGGAAACTACCGTCTACGATATTGATGCTTGTTTTGAGATCGAGAGTTGCATTCTCCTCCACTGGCAGAACATTATAGAGGAAATATTTCTTCCCTTTCCTCATTCCGCCTTCCGTATACAAAACTAAGGGGAATGAAGTTATAGTTCATATGTCAAAAGATCTGCTACATCTTTATAACTTTTCTATTCTATAGGAGTTTTTTGAAAAATCGTCAGAGGGTTAATAATTATTGACTCGCCATTGATTTTAATGGTACTGCTCATACTTGCTAATGATAAAACCACATTTTTCCTAGACTGCTTCATATCACCAAAGTTGCCGCCAATAAAACTATCCATGATTTTGGTTCCAGTATCCAGAGCTTGATGACAATTAATTTTTGAGTTTCCCAGAATGCCTGTCGATAGAGAAATCAGCTAATTTAATTTTGGAAAAAGGAGATGCTCGTTAAACCAATCCTTAATCTTTGCTCGGTCTTGAGAATCTCTCTGTTGCCGTGATTTCCGAAAATCAACGTGCTGCTTTCCTTTTCCAAAAATTACTCCAACAAACTCCTCTAATGCAGCAATCCACTTTGCGATTACAGAAACGGTAATTCCTCAGGGCTCCTATGAGCTTTTCATGGAGCGCATTAGAGTTTGTTCTATGGTCATATCAGACCATACTCGTGTCCAATGTGTACCAGATCGATTAATAGTGAAGTACTCCTTTTCTGCAAATTTCTTATACGCCTATGGATAGGTATCTTTCAATGATGTCATCTTGCACGTAGAGGTGCGCACATTTAGCATACTGCAAATGCCTACTCGCATGGAAAAGTGGAATCATCTGCTGTACACACGCCAAGTGGCCATGCCAATCACCACAACACTCGGAATCGATGAACTTTTTAATCAGTGTAACCATATTCAAATACTGCACCCATAAAGTAGCAGTTAGCCCATTTTCCTTTACAGTATCCAGCTGATTTTTGAATTTGTTCAAAGTTGATAATAAACCAGCATTCTCCTCAACTTTGTCTGGAGTAAGTGATGCCATCGTGTTCAACATGGTCATGATCTCTCTCTTTTCTTCTTTTGAAATATTGACTTCCTCGAGAATGATTCCAGCTAAAACAAGTTGAACGAGTGAATGTCCCCGAATCGTCGCACCACTTAGTTTATGGTATCTACTGCTATATTTATAGATTGTTGTTAAATTAAGAGTTAGTTTCTGCTTGTTATTACTTTTACGATAAATTATAATGTCTATGCAGTATGCAAGTAGTAAAACGTAAAAGAGTGTTTTGCGAGTGTATTGGCGATGTTGTGAAAACACCAGATTCAAAGACGTATTTAGGGCGGGTATTATAAAACTGCTTTGACAGTTAACTTGAAGTTAACTTTTTGAATTACATGTATTTTTAGAAGTTAACTCTCAAAGTAGTTTTATAATACCCGCTATTGGAAATAGGATACCTATAAGGACAGCAATTGAAACGAGATAATGTTTTTAGAGAATCTTTAATTATTTAAATTCACGCAGAAAGGAAACGTCCGATACGAACTAAAGTTCACACAAGAATAATTCTTAACTCTAAACAAAAATATAAGGAGGACTCTCTAATATAATTTTACAACTCAGTTTTTCCAACTTCTGCTAATATTAGGGTTATAGAAATACAAAGATGTTTATGATGGTCAAAGCAAGCAAACCCGTCTACACCGACCTAAACCTTTTATACATGTATTGCCTCCTTGGAGACAAATGTTGACAATGCAAATACCTTTATTTTATAATGATGGGAATATTTTTGAAATGTTTAAATAATCCAACACCCGCCCTTAACTATACAAAGTGCTTCTCAAAGGCGTAAAGACGATATAACAGAAAGATTTAATAGACTCATCCTGATTCTTCCGAGCAAACTTTTTTTTGGCACTGAAATTGTTTGGCTAGTTATATTAGTGAGGAAAAAGTTAGAAAACGAGAAATATTTTTATATAAAGAGGAAATTAGGAATAAGGATCAAGTCGACGGCTTAGGATGCGCTGGGACATCTACTGATAAACAACGTCATAATCAAGAGATGAAAAATATACAAAATATTTGCATCATATGCGGCAACAAGACCAGAAAAAAAGTAAAGAAACTGCATCAATTATCAGAATTATCTGCAGCTCGAAACCCTAAACTTATTTGAAATTAGTAGAGTGAAGCAAGACATACAGCTGTATGGAACATCCTCTTTTAACTTAAAAGCGCTTTACCGCCCCCCCCAAAGTTCCTGAAATATATCGAAAGTTGGGAAAACTTGGAAGACAAAAATTTGCGAGGACTAATTAAAATAAACATACATCAGGATCGTGTCACGTGTTGTAATGAATTGCAAAATCACCGTACAACAGGTTGACGAAATCCCAATGGTCGGGGCGATCTCTTGCGTTGCACATTGCACTGCACTAACACCACTAGCCTGCAGTGGCGGTTCGCCGATATGGGCAAGGTGGGCACCGCCACCCTGGAGAAAAATAAAAAATACCTTTAATCAAAGATAATCCTACTTCGGAGTAGGATTATCTTACTTCGGAGTAGGATTATCTTTGCTTTAATGCAATATTTGAAAAGGCCGCGACCTTGAAAATCTAAAAAAAAAATTGCCCATGGCTGTTTTTTATTTTTGTCGCCCACCCTTACTTGGACACCACGAGCCGCCACTGCTAGCCTGTGGCAGTGGCACGTGGCATTCGTGATAGTAGTGGCTCTATCGCCACTAGCACTATTCATTATTCGAGAGTCAAGACCGACGACCGACGTAGTTATATCTATAGCTTGTTGTTGCAAGCGCGTCGTGTTTGAGAGAGATGGACAATATAGTATATTAGATAATCCAAACTTCTTATTACTTTCTGCGTTCTGCGCATTCTTCGCTCGCTATTCAGATTCAGATTTCAGCAAAGCTCTGAATCCTGTGCTCTTATGTTGAAGAAATGTTTTTTTCGAACATTTTTCTCATACATGTTTTTTATACATTGTTTATTTTATTTGATTATATTATTTGTAGGTCTGGAACAAGGTTGTTTGAGAGAGGTATAGGTTGCCTCAGGGGCCTTATTCTGTAAGAACGAACCGTTCGATTCGGTAAAATTTCTTCGATTGTGACGTCATTTTGGTTTAGTTTTCGTGCTACCAAACCGAAAATGACGTCACAATCGAAGAAATTCTACCGAATCGAACAGTTCGTTCCTTACAGAATAAGGGCTGGAACTCTGTAACGAATAGAGATATTTTCTCTATCTCTATTGACGTCTCCTCTCTATTGATTTTGACAAGAAAGAAAAAGACAGCAAGTGCCATAGCGATAGGGAAAACGATCCTTATCCGTCACAGAGTTCCAGCCCTTGATAATTTTCTTCCGTCATCTGGAGTACCTCAACATAATGCAAATCTCCAAGGTACCTCAGATTAGATGCGTCATCAAGTTACCCATTATCAGGCAACCTATTAACTTTAGTAATCTTGGGTCTGGAATATATATAATATAGTCGTGAGCATAAAAAGTGGGACACCGGTCTGACAGGTCTTGTCCTTTTTCACTATTTTGGGTAAATCAGTCTTTTCTCTACAATGGATTTTTTTGTCAAATATGACAATCTCTGTCATTGCCATAGGTATAGCTGATGAGCTCGTTTTACAATAGGAAAAAACGGGTGTCCCACTTTTAATGCTCACGACTGTACATGTCAAACTTTTTATCAGTTTTTGAAGTGAAACTTCTTAGGCGGCGGTCTGATATTTAGAGGAGAATATGGAGAGTGATTTGAAAGACGAAAGACGCATTATGTAACGTCACGTTTTGGCAAATTTCGCTACAGGAGAGATGAGAGAGAAGGAAGCTATAACGTAGAGAGACGGAGAAATACATCAACCAATGACAATGACAGCCGACGAACAATTCACACTAACGAAGGATTATAAGTAAAGAGGATTGCCTATTATTGTTATGCGCCGATACCCTTGTAACGTTACTATAGATACGCGGGCTCTTCGGCTTTACCCCGACTCATAAGCTAAGTCTCAAAGCTGTATAGAGGGTATAGTTTTTGAAAAGTTTCACTTCTTAATACGTATACGATGCTACACATGATTTTTTGGAACTGAAACTTTTATGCGGCGGTCTGATTTGGAGGAGAATGGAGAGTGATTTGAAAGAAGCGTTACGTGTGACGTCTCTACAGATGCGCGTTTGTCTATTGTGTAGCCTTTCATCTTTATACCCCGACTCATAAGCTAAGTCTAAAAGTTGTATGAGACAAGTTCATGAGGGAGGGAATAGTTTTTTCCTACGACCACATATGAAAATTACAAAATTCGCACTAGCTGGTTCTTTGGAAAGCACTAAATATCACTCGCGTGCTGAAAGTACTTTCAATACTCGTGCTAAAAGTACTTTCAGCACACGTGTGGAAAATACTGTTGACATTATTTGTGATTGACTTAACAATTTACTTTCAATACGTGGATTGAAAGTACTTTCAGCACGTATGTTGAAAATGAAAAGAAATAAAATAAGAGAAAATCGATGTAAATTGGTTTCTGGTCG